AGACTTAATGGATGGGCTCCCCACCAAAAAGCTAGAGCTCCTGGTGCGGAGGTGGTCTAGACAAGGACCCCCGCCCAGACTGAACCCACCTTCAGCGCCACCCGTTGACAGGGCTCAAAAGAAACGAGAAGGTGGCGGAAAACTAAATCCTCCGCCCCCTCAGGGTGAGGGGGGAGGCGGAGGGTGGATGTTTATTAGACAACTCACCTGCAATAATAAAGGAGATTTACTACTTATGGTTGCGGTGGGACCGAGGAAAAGGCCCGTAACCTTTTTAATTGATACAGGGGCCCAAATTACGGCAATTAAACAGAATGAGGTGGAACAGTGCGGTATCTCGCCCCCTTCTAAACACCTAATAGTATTAAATACCTTGGGGAAAACCCAATCTGTGCCTATGACCCCGGTAACTTTGTGGCTACCGGGAGAAGAAAGTCCGGTGGACACCATGGCGGCTATAGGGCCCTTTCAAATGAATCTCCTGGGAATAGACGTCTTAAAGGGAAGACAGTGGCGGGACACCCAAGGGAACTCATGGTATTTCAGCCTTCCTCAGGTTAGAAGGCTAACCGGGAATTTCAGTGTGGAAGTGTGCCTGCTACAAGCGGCGCCTCCCCTCCCCCCTTCCCGCTTGACTAATGTGAAACCCTACCCACTACCCCTGGGATCGAGGGAGGGCATCACCCCTGTGTTAGAGGATCTGAAGAAGCAGGGAGTCGTAGTCCGGCACAGTCCCCCTTCAATTCCCCTGTATGGCCCGTGAGAAAACCTAATGGTAAATGGAGATTGACCGTAGGTTACCGGCACCTCAACAACAATACGGGCCCATTAACGGCTGCTGTACCAAATATTGCTGTGTTAATCGCAACCATTCATGAACAAGCCCACCCGGTGATGGCAACCATCATGCCAAAGACATGTTTTTTATGGTTCCACTGCAACCTGAGGACCAGGAGTGCTTTGCCTTTACGTGGGAGGGACAACAATATACGTTTACTCGAATGCCTCAGGGATACAAACATTCCCCTACACTAGCCCATCACGAGCTGGCCCAAGAACTTGAAACCATTCCCATACAAGCAGGAGTCAAGATTTACCAGTGTATAGATGACATGCTTATAGGAGGGAGCCAGGTAGAGGGCGTTGAAAAAACGCAACACGTTATCATTGATTATTCCTTCCTTCTAACCCGAGAAGCGAGATTGTCCCTGTTTTTTGTTTTTAAGGACGGCAATACAACAACGATGTACCTGCTACTTTGGATCGTTTTAACTCAGGGATGCCCCCGTGTAAGTGATGAATGACCACTCCCCCTACCTTCCCCTCCTCCATACCATCCCTTCGAAAACAACGAATTTGTGCTGCTGGCAAAAGCCGTAAGTCAAACTTTCAATTTGAGCCACTGCTGGGTATGCGGTGGACCCATGGGACTAGCAAGTTGGCTGTAGACATCCATACCCCTCACCCCAAACCAAATCGTAAGCACTTATAGTGAAACCGCAGGCGATCTGTGGGATGACAGTGGGACCTGGCCGATTCAGTTTCTAACTAAAGGGCAATATTATTTAAATTGCACCCAAAAGAAAGGGATCGAAGTGGGAGAAAGCCAATGTCGATGGACTCTCACACGTAAGCCCCTCGACAAGGAAAAGGACCTCCACCTGTGGACATGGCTAGATGAGACGGGATGTAATCGAGGGTTTGAGGGATATTGGTCAAACAAAAATGAAACCTTAATACTTGAGTGACCCAATTACCCTCTTTACAAACAAACCTGCAAGTGAAGGGGCACTGCTGGGGCATGGTATTGCACTGGCCAGATAGGGGATGGGGCAACCACCTTTTTCAGCCCTCTGGGCGACAGAGACATGGCTTATTTCCAATTTCCACCAGGGAAAAATGGGCCATTTGCTCAGGGCAATAGAGCTAAAAAGGGACACTATTGGATTTGTGGGCACACAGCATATAAATCTTTACCTGCGGGGTGGTCGGGAGTCTGTTATATAGGAATCATCAGACACTTATTCTTCCTTTTTTCCCGGAAACAGGCAGACCCCGATTAGGTGTAAAAGTATATGATAATCTCGGGGATAGAAGCATTGCCCGTAAGACGTAATCCATAGAGGTAAATTTGGGTGGGACGCAAAAATGGGGGAATAGTGTGCCCTTGCAGCGAGGTAGGTGGGACTCCACATTACTGTGTTGACCTTTTTGTCTCACCACTGAGTATTTAAGGGTAAGGAAATAGAGAAGACCATTTTAAAGTTAGACCACTAGTACCATCTAAAAAGCTCTTAAAATGTGAAATAACCTGGTGTTGCTAAGAAAGGCCATGGAGAGAGCTGGCTGGTTTCCACTTTTGAGAACCAGGCTATCTTCTACACAACTTGACTCTCCAATTTCAAAAAGGCAGCTCTGGTTTGCATCTCAGTAGAGTGGTTGCTAAGAATGCTCTCATATTGGAGACTTTTTAATGTGTTTTTTATGGTGTATTGACCACAATTTTCTGCACTGATTTCAGCTTGCTTAAATCCTGCAACAATACCCACTCCCCCCAAAAAACCCAAATCAAAACAAAAAAAACCACACCAAAACCCCCAACCTCAAACAAAACCTCCAAAACCCCTCTCCTCAAACTTCAAAGATACTGCAAAGTAGAGGAAATTATTTGCTCCTCTGTTCTCTATCATCCTCTACCCATGGAACTGAAGCTCTTCAGAAAACAGTGTTTCACAGTGCTTTTATGAAATGGGTAAGTAGTAAACTGTTGCAAATGGATATGTTGAATCATATATAGGTTGAGTGATTTACTGTTGAGATATCAGTGGAAGAGATA